TGCAGCTTGTGTAAAAAGAATAGCTATGAATATCAATTAATATATTATGTTTTCTTTATTATAATTTTTTCACAATTTTATGATATATGTATTGCCTTATTTATATTAATTTCAATTTAATAGAGGAAACATTAAATGAAAATTCAATAATAATATCACACAACAGCATAGTGTGTAGGTAGGTCAAGCAATGTAGAGGTGTCAACGTTAGTATAACTCATTAAATGAAAATGAAAAGTCTTGTGGAGAAAATAGCTTTGAACATCAATTTTCCGTTTATTAATTTGATAATTAAATACATTTACATGTAATTGGGGGCTTACTTTTGTAGTATAGTTACTACTATAGTAACAGCGGCTGTAAATACAGGCTGATTCGATCGACGTTGACAAACGTTTAACTTCAATTCTATTCTACAATTGAATATCTAACTACCAACATGAGCAACCTATGTTGAGTCCGAGTAGCTATTCTATTCTATAGTCACAAGGTAATCTTGTGACTATCGAGTACAAAACCAAAAACTCAAAGAATAAAATGTAATTTATTGAATTAAAAAAAAAGAAATATGCATAGTATACCTATGTAATATGAAAGGCAATAACATTGCCTTTTCAGATACATTCAGGCCCGGATTGAACCGGCGAGCTACCGAGAAAATCTCGGTGGGCCGCGTAGTAAAATTTGGGCCGTTATTATTTTTGGACATAAGTATTCTAGTATTTCTAGATAGACAGATAGTGATATAGTAAAATATAGATCCAAATACACGGTTAAAACAATAATTGCGTCAGCTGTATAAATGTATAATACTAATGTATAATGTATTAGTTATTTGTTTCTCAAGAGTAAAATTGTCAATCGATAATACAGTGTATCAGTATGTACCAAGTAAATGATAGTTGTGTGCTGCGTCCTGCCAGCATGTTTATAAAAATAAATATAATTCCAATTCACCGTATTGTTATATGGGTTTTCCCACAATTATCGTAATATCGTCCAACGACCAACGGGCAACAATTCATGGAACTCACACATACTACGTACTCTCCTACACGACACACAAGTTTACAATTTACATTATTATTACTTATTAACTTATTAGTTTTTTGAAATAACTTGATAAATGATAATTTAGTTTTTTCTACATCGTTTACACTCTTAACAGTCCTGAATCAAAAAGGTTACATGTTTTTATATTTATTATGGTTTAGTGCGTCTTAACATTAAAATATTTTGTTCGCCGTACTATATATAAACTAATATACGACTACCTATACTAGTATAGGTAAATAGGTAATATAGTTACTCACTATAATATTTTTTATTTTTTGCAAATTGTGCAACATTCTCATTTACGTATTTGCAATAATTGCATTTAAAAAGTAGTTAAGACTGCGCTTGTCATGGATAAAGAAAAAAGAAAAAAGAAATTAAAAGGTGGAGCTGAAAAGTTACGAATGAAACGGCATGCTGAACTAAAATCTGCAGAGAGTGATCCCAAACAAACAAAAATATCATTTCTTAGACCTCCCCAAAAAGGTAAGTTTATTTAGTTAATTATTAATATGATTAATAAACTAGTCAATTAATTTATTATTTTAAATATTTCATCCTTTATATTTATTTAAATAAATGCATAATATAGTAGCCAGTAGGTATAGTAAATAGTTTTTATTTATTATTTATAAAATTATAATAATTTATTATATTTTTTTAAAAATACAGTTAATAAAAGCATGATTTCATCTTCATCTTCTGATTGTAATGAAAAATCAAAAACTATTGAGTTAAAGTCTCAAAATGCACAGATTCCTCAAATTAAAGAATCTCTTTTACCCACGGTTCGTATTTCGTATAGATACATTTAATTACATTTGTTGTTTTAGTAATGTAATGTAACTTACCTAATATTTTGTATTTATTTGCTAAGGAATCAAAACTAGATAATTTATCAATATCAATTTTACAGGAATGTCATAACAGAAAGTAGAAAATTGGTAGATGATGAAACGGAATCTGTATCCACTGGTAACTTTCCACTACTTGATAACTCATCGGTACAGTATAATAGTATAAATTAATTTAATATTTTATTTTGTTTCTTAATTTTAAGAAAATTAGTCTTTCAAATTGCTCTTACACTGAACTCTTACACTTTATTTTGGGAGAACTTAACTTAGGGATTTATTGTTCCGTTTTAGATTACTGACACAGATAATGAAATAGTTGTTTCAACAGAAATAATTGATATTAATATTTTTAAGAAACCTGAAGGTAAAAACCTACACAACTTTTTTAAATCTCATCCTATACAACCGTTTGAAAATATTTTATTCAACCCAAATAAAGTATACTACCGCGTACACAACAATGTTGCATTTAAAAGAAAGTGGTTAAGTTACTGTTTAATTGTCGAATTGTTTAATCGTCGGGTTCAGTTACAGCTGTACAATCAGTATAACTTAATGTAAGTATGCATTTATGTAAAAAGAATAGCTACAAATATCAATAAAAAATATATGATGATTTATTTATTATAATCATTGACAGATTTTAAAAAAGTATACGAAAACTGATAACGGGAGGGAGATAACAAACACTTGGGAAATTTGAAAAGTATCAGACAAAAATGTAAAAAGTTCGGACGTCCAGTACTATTCAATGGGCCGCCGCAATTCGTCAATACCGCCGTATCGAAACCTACACCCCGGGGACTGTGACTAGTGATGGGTAAATTCCCGGTATTTAAAAGTGAGAGAATCTTCCCTGGAAATATTTCCGGAATTTTTAATAAATTCCCAAATAATGGGAATTTATACTATAAATTTGAAAATTCTAGTAGGCAAGTCAAAATTAAATTATACCCAATCCAAACACTGCCCAAATATAATTGTGGCCTGATGTGACCTCAGATTTTGAAGCCTTAACTTAATTAAAATTAAAATAAATAATAAAATATAATTCTCTTAGTTCTATTGCCACGCCCAGAATTAGGATGCTGTTATTTTCCTAGACTCCTAGTAACTTATCTTTTATTATTATAATTAAGTTATTAGTACATTCAATTTAATATTTTTATTTTATTAACTGTTTATATTACCAACTTTGTAAATGATGACTGGTGTCAATTAGTAAGTAAATTAATAAATAATTGTCCTTGTATTTTTATGAATAATATTATGATGGTACCTACTTTCTCAATGAAAATTGAAAAATAATGTCTTTTACCTTTGTTATCTTCTACACAAAAGTTAAATATCTGTTAAGACATTTAGTTTAATTTTTTAGGAAAAACATTAAACAAGTAACAAATTTCCAATGTAATTTCCATTTCTAATTTCCTATGATAAATCCTTCGTATCAGTCATATAATTAACTATAACTAATTTATTTATTTTTATACAATTTTTAGTTTTTTTTAACTATAACTAATATTTAATAATAATAATAATACAAAAGTTAACAAATATGAGCTCCATATTTTTAACAAAAAACTTTATAACTGAAAAATATATTAAACATTATAAAAAAAAGTATCAAATTAATAAGAGTACAAAACTTAACAAATATGAACTCCATATTTTTAACAAAAAACTTTATTAATAATTAAAAAAAATGTATGCAACCATTAAAAACTACATTTTTTCATACTACTTTCAGAACTTTTTTCTTCCTCATAAGAGTCAGAATCTGCATAGGGAATTTCACTTTCTATTTCACTATCAGAGGATTTCACTATGTTGAAGATTCACCTTCATTTGATACTACTTCATTAGTTTCTGCCTGAACACTCATTGAATCTTGATTATCAGTGTGCATAGTTTTAGAATACTTAGATTTTGGTTCAGAACATTTAATTTTCCAATTGTATGACAAGTAAGTGAGTTTACCAGCTCTTTCAGTAGTAAGCCTATTTCGTCTTTTATTATGTATCCACGAAAAGGTACTAAAGCTACGGAACCCGATATTGAGTCCTTCCACTTTTCTATCAAACGCACCAATCATAGTAATCGATACATCGAAACAGAACGACTCAGCCACGGCCTCAGCAGTGGATGTTCAATTAGAAATTGAAGCTTCAGAATCGCTTACAGGTGTAACTGCTTTTTGTTTATTAATTCATGATCGTATTGTAGAATATGTACCTTTTACTAGAGAAGTAAGAAAACTTGTGTAAATAATTTTTAGAATTATATATTATTGTACTAGTAAATAAAATAATATTTTAATAAATATATATATATATATTTAACAAACTGTTTTTTATACCTAAAAAAGTAATATAGGTACATTACGAAACTAACAAATTTACATAAATATAATTTTGTGTTACAGATGATATAGATACACAGTTTTATGATGTGTCACACAATTACATAAACTGTTCAAAAAATTACACTTTTTGAGATCTTGTGTTACACGGTGGACGTATGTAGAAATGCCCCCCCCCCCCTTGAACTGATGAAATCTTCCTGTAAAAAAGGTGCTCAGAACATACATTAGGGTTTTTGAGATTTTCGCTTTACGGTGGACGTATGTAGAAATGCCCGCTTGAACTGATGAAATCTCCCTGTAAAAAAGGTGCTCAGAATATACAAATATATACTACTTTTAGTTTTAAAACCAAAGTCTTAACATAATTAGGTAATTAATAAGAATTTTATGTTGTTATACAATGTTTTCAAAATTTGTATATTTTTGGAAAAAGCGAATTAGTATATTATTATTTATTTTATCTATTAGCTGGTATAATAATATTACTAATAGGCGCAATAGTAATTAATAATTAATATTTTCATAGTACAACCATTAATTATAATCAATAGTACAATATAAAAAAATATACAAAACCTTACTAAGTAGGTAATCAATAACAAGTACACATTTTTTTAAACTTTATTTGATTTATACTTACAGTTTCTTAATTATTAATTAACAATAAAAAATATTAAATATAAGGAAAATATGTTTAATGATTTTTCCATGACTTTTACCGGTCAATTGGTTTTTAGCCACATTGTAGCTAAGTTACGAGGTCTTTGTTGGTTCGTATTTAAGCACTGATTATTTGGTCGTTTACCAGAATTTATTCTTCTAGAGCCTCTAGTAATGCCTTTCTTTCGGCGACTTATTGATGTAGGTTGCACTTTTATTTGACCTCTTCTTTTGTTGACATTGGTTGATTTAATACTCAACGAATACATAAAGCTAGCAAATTGAGAAGAGTTTGTAATATTTTTCAATCTGTGACCTAATTTGTTCAGTATCGGTTCTGGTAGTGTAGGAATCATATTTTGTAATCTTGACTATTCTGATTGAACAACTGAAATATTGGTATTTATAATATCATCAGTATGTCTAATTTCAATATAAGTGTCTATATTCTGTAGAACACTTGATATTTCATTCGAAGTTGTTGCTTCATTTCTTATACATTCGTTATTTTCAACATGAAGATCCAACTGAAGTTTTCCTTGCTTATTAATTTCCGATTCACAATATTCTGAACTATTTACTGTTTTGTTTGATGCCTCACATATAATTTCTGAATTGCTATGTAAACTTTCCTTTAAACCCCAAAAAAAAGTTGGTGTAGGGCATTTGTCAATTCCTAAAGCTAACACAGCAAGTTCATGTCGTTCTTCCAATGTGACAGCAGGTGAATTTAGGAGTTGAGCTTTAATGTGTTTATGGATCCAAGCTTGGTGTTTGCAAAATGATCCAGCATGTCCCATTTTGCAAGTACAAGCACCATTTTCAGTATCAACTAAATATGTCACATTTTTAGTAGTCATACTTGGGATGGCATAAGTTGATTCATTAATTTGTTTTAAGTCAGATATATTAAAATCAATCATTTTGGAACATAATTTATCATACAATCTTTTAATTTTCTAATTTAGAGGTGGGAATTTCAACTCATTTTGATGAATTAGCTCCTGTGAATCAGTTCATTTAAATGAACTGAATCATCAAATCAACTCTTAACTCTTTTCATACTTCTTAATTTATGATTACCACTTTTATTAGTTTGATTCATGTTTCACATGATTTACTTGTGAATTGACAAGATATTTTAAAGATTACACAGCAATCATTGTTTATCATTATTTTACTTACCTGTTTCATTATTTAAGATTTGATCAATATGTGCTTTATAATTATTATTGTATGAATTTGAACTATAGATATAAGATTTACATTAATTACCTATTAGAAAAACGTGTACAAAATTATGCCTCCTACTACTCAGTACCTACCCAATACCTATTACCTATTTTTAATTTAGCCCTACACTACCATAATTTGTATGAAGCTATTGTATACATTTTAATTTTTTATATGATTATAAAATATTAGTTGTTTTTATTATTATTATGATTATGGCTTATCTGGACTCTGGATTCTGGAAAAGTTAATCTGAAAATAACTTTCAGCATATATTATGAAAAGACAAACGTAAAATGCGGTTTGGGTTTTCTTGAAATAAAACACAACCAAATATCCACATTAACATTATGAGACATGTGTTTGGCACTTAGAAATAGATTTGAATACATCGTTCTACTTCTAACATACCAGTAGTATATATTTGTATGTTCACAGTTCGTTTTTCCACCGTAATTTTTTTTGTTCAAGCGGGAATGTTCCCATAGTACGACTCAGAATTACCGTATCACACAATACGGTAATTTCATACTCAGTGTCCACCTATTTACCCCTCACACGAAAATATTTACCGTGCACACATTTTTTTTTCCATGAAACCTTACTAAATTAATATTTCAAGAAAAAACACAAATTATTAAATAAGGAGCGTTTGATAGAAAAGTGGAAGGACTCAATATCGGGTTCCGTATATTTTTTTCATAGTACGATTCTTGAAAAGATGTATACATATCTTATAATAAGGTAAAATTATTTTTTGTAAAATCTAAATTTAAATTATCATATGGATAAGCTATCGAGTTCAGAAATACTCTAACATTTGTCAGATTACAATGATCAAATATACTACAATCTTTTGCTAACACATTTTTACGTCCCTTCTGCAATCCAATTATGATAAATCGTGGTTTTTCTAATTTTGAAGCAGTTTTCAAGTTCCATACAACTTTTTTAGTAGTCCCGAGTTCAGGATATTCAAAAGTTTCAAAACATCTAAAAGGTATATACAAACTTTTTTCTTTTTCTACAAGTTTCAATAGGTAACTTTAACCTTTCTTCATCGCCAACAGTAATATGTGGAACCTTCCAGACTATTTTGTTTAAAATCACTTTACCTATAGTTGAAGCAGCTGCACCAGTTTTTAAGTTTAACGCATTTATATCGGTATGACTTCGAGTTAATATCAATTCCAATTTAGAATTAACTAATATTTTTTTAAAGTCTTCAAAAAAACCTAACCAATATTTCAACGGGATGCAAGCACTAAATTCACCTTTTTCATTTGCTGATTGTGATGTATTTTTAAAATTCCAGCCAGAATTCTCATAACAATGATAGTTGTCTGGTGTACAGGATAAGTAACCTTTTAACGAGCAAGTGATTCCAAGAACACACGTACTATCTACTTCTATCCCGTTGATTTCTAAACGTATTTGTTCAAAGAGGTAAGAGTAACCATTATTAGATAGTTTAACTTTGTCAGCTTCCGATATTATACCTTTAAGGAAAATAAAGCTCTCATGTAGATATGGATAAACATCTGTTTGCTGGATTGATATACGTATCTCGTCATTATTATTAAACGATGTTGTATACGGCGTATATGAATGATATTCAATTTTCGTAATTCTAGAATCCGTTTCATACCGTGAACCTATATCTAAAATA